TACCTGCTCTGTGCAATGGGGTCCCTCACCGGCGTTCTAGGCTCCTCCTCCTCTCTATGTGGAATCTGCTTCCTATGGTGGTACACATGTGGGGGCACTAGCAAGCTGTGCTGTGTGCATCCATAGACAAACACAATGTGGCTCGGCCCCGCCCCCGCTCTCTGCTCACAGGATTTGATTGACAGCAGCAGGAGCCCATAGCTGCCCCTGCTGCCTCTCTGTCCTGTGAGACAGGAGAGAGACACTACAGAAGGGCACAGTAAAGACTCAGGTATTTAGGAGGTGAAGGGGCAATACAAACACTGGAACATTTTTTTCTTTAATGCAAGGAATGCATTACGGTTAAAAAATGTTTTCCCTTTAAAACTATTTTAAATATAAAGTTTTTGCTTTAAATACTTTAATGAATGAATGGGGACACGGTGCAGAGCAGTGAACAGGGTGAACCCAGATTCAGAGGAAATAAATAGACACAAAGAAAAAACAAACCCGACTAAGACCTCAGGCATACGGATGTGGCTAGACATAAAATATGCCTAGCGTAAAAACACATCTGATGCTTCTGTACACATGACATACTGTACTTTTCAAGATTGTTGACACCTAAAAAGAAAAATACGTTGTACACATATGTGCGGGTAAAAGCAAATTCATCGAAGCATCTGCATTTACACAAGTACAGGGGTGTACAGCCGTTAACTTCTATGGCCAACTGTATGCCCCTCATGTGGTCCCCCAGCCGTATTTCTTACACTAGGCATGTTTTATGTCTGAATACATCCGCGTGCATGTAGCCTAATACATTTGTCATTGTGGCCAATTCCTCAACTTAGATACAACTCTGGTTCAACGACCACTAACAGCCCATCAGGAATGGGCACAGCTGCATTAAAGCCCAACTTGATGTCTGTTTCAGTAATCACACATGATGTAAGGGGAAATCTCCTCAATATGGACATAGACAGCAATAAAAACATGGCAGAGGTTCTTAAAGCCCAACTCCCAGAAACTAAAAATGTAGTTGTGCCCCCACTGCAAGGGTTATTAGCTCTTTATTGTCCAGGGAAGAGAACAAAACAGTTTTTCTTACCTGATTCTCACCTTTCCCAGTAGGTGGCGCTCCCGCTTGCTATGCCCGTTGGGCTATCCCTTTGGCGTCTTCCTGTCCACTGCAGGGCTATGGACCCTGCAATGGTCTTGATGACGTCGGGACCCTAGACCAGTACAGCATGGGGGATAAGAAGCTGCAGGGTCAGGTCTAGCTGCAGAGAGGAGTGCAGGAGCAGGTAACAAAATCTTCTGTTTTTATTCTCCTAGACCAGGGGTCTCCAAACTTTCTAAACAAAGGGCCGGTTTACGGTCCTTCAAACTTTGGGGGGGCCGGACTGTGACCAGTGGGAGAAGAAAATGCCCTGGTGTCAGTGGGAGTAAACAATGCCTCATCATTGATATTAGGGGGAGGAATAGTGCCCCATCATTAGTATCAATGGGAGAAATAGTGCCCCATCGTTAGTATCAATGGGAGGAATAGCGTCCCATCGTTAGTATCAATGGGAGGAATAGCGCCCCATCATTAGTATCAATGAAAGGAATAGTGCCGCATTTTGGTATCAATGAAAGGAATAGTGCCCCATCATTGGTATGAATGGGGGAATTGTGGCCCATCACTGGTGTCAATGGGAGGAATAGTGCCCCATCATTGGTGTCAATGGGAGGAATAGTGCCCCATCATTGGTGTCAATGGGAGGAATAGTGCCCCATCATTGGGTGTCAATGGGAGGAATAGTGCCCCATCATTGGTGTCAATGGGAGGAATAGTGCCCCATCATTGGTGTCAATGGGAGGAATAGTGCCCCATCATTGGTGTCAATGGGAGGAATAGTGCCCCATCATTGGTGTCAATGGGAGGAATAGTGCCCCATCATTGGTGTCAATGGGAGGAATAGTGCCCCATCATTGGTGTCAATGGGAGGAATAGTGCCCCATCATTGGTGTCAATGGGAGGAATAGTGCCCCATCATTGGTGTCAATGGGAGGAATAGTTCCTAATCATTGGTGTCAATGCGAGGAATAGTGCCCCATCATTGGTGCCAATGGGAGGAATAGTGCCCCATCATTGGTGTCAATGGGAGGAATAGTGCCCCATCATTGGTGTCAATGGGAGGAATAGTTCCCCATCATTGGTGTCAATTGGAGGAATAGTGCCCTATTATTGGTGTCAATTGGAGGAATAGTGCCCCATCATTGGTATGAATGGGAGAATAGTGCCCCATCATTGTTGTCAATTGGAGGAATAGTGCCCCATTGTGGATGTCAGTGGGAGAAACCATGCCACAGTGTTGCTATCAGTGGGAGGAATAATTCCTCCCAGTGGGAGGGCCAGATAAAAACAAGCAAAGGGCCCCAGTTTGGAGACCACTGTCCTAAACCAAAACAAGCAATTAGCCCTTGCAGTGCAGCTCAACCCTACTGAAAGGGATAATTTTGCAGTTGCCCTGGAGTTGGGCTTTAAAGCTTCCACATTCCATCCAAAGCAAAAAATTAAAGTGGTTGGAGAAAGAAAGTAAAAGAAGCAAATTCTCTCATCTGTTAGCCTGTGACCAGAGTTAATGAACTTTTAGGACCGGAGCTGAATGACGTAAAAGCAGTTTATTTAAAGTGGATCTGTTTTTGCTGAACTTATGAAGTGAAACATTTGGACAGAAGTCATCCGGCACAGAAAATAGCATTCCGGCACAGACTTTGCTTACCAATATAAACAAGGAGGATTACACAAGGGTCAAATAAACACAAATGTTTCCCCAACACTGACGTATCAGTGACAGAAGTCTCTTCCTTTTTCCCAAATTAGCCCAGCAAAAAAAACCCAAAAAAAACAAATGCACAAAATCAGCAAGTAAAGAAGAGGAAAAATTATTTAAAAAGCGGGAAAGGAAATCTGGGGTCGCAACACATAACAGAGGCATTAATGCTGAACGTCAGTCAAATGGCTAAATACATACAGTACAGTAGATGAAATATATATAATGGAGCTGTTTATGTGCCATATTTGCATTTTTGTCCATCCAGTCCTGGTATTTACACAGCTCTGCTACAGAGCACAGCACTGACAAGGTATTTCCTTTGGCTTTCTCTGGATCAACTAAGGCTATAGGATTATAACTTTTTTTTTCTAGGATTGAACTGGATGGACTTTTGTCTTTTTTCAGCCAGACTATGTGTAAGGGACCTGCAGCAGTTAAAGCTGAGGAACTTCACCCATATTTTTTACCTCCCCCCCCCCTCTTACTTGTTATGGGTTGTCCTCAATTCAGGTGCACAATTGACCAGTGGATCTAGCATTGTTGCTGTGATCCACTGCTCAGCTGCCATAGACTTGGTCCCATGCTGCCATCTTGGTCCTCCTCAATCATCAGAAACTGGCTACCTTTTTCTGATTCAGGCAGCCTGCCCCCAATGACATGCACTAGCTCCGTGCATTGGCCACTGTATTCCCCTGGTCCTGCAGCCTCTTGGTTATGTGACGGGAATACCTAGGAGGCTAAGGGAGCAGGAGCACGCCATTCTCAGATAGACAATAAAAGCAGAAGGGCGCAGGACCATACAAAAAAAAAGTAAAGCAATCCATAAAATAAAATAGTGGCAATTTGCTTTGCATAGGGAGGAGGGAGTCTAAAGAGACAAAACTTGACCTGGAGGAAGAAGGTCCACTTGAAGTAACTTCCCCACCCCGAGCTTATCTCTCCGTCACTCTGCTCTTTCCTTCAATGCTCCTTTCACTATTGCACAAGTGTGTGGCTCCATGAGCTGCTTTCCCTTCTCCACCCTGAGCTCTGCTGTATAAGGGACTGCAATTAGAGGATACCAAGTCAATGCCATCATAGAAGAACAGACCAGACATCCCATCTCCCCACAACCAACTTATTTTCCTTTTGCACTGGTTTTGCCAAGTGTCATTGGACCGTGAACTTTGTAGGCACCATCAGATGGGAGGTCTTCCAGCCAAAGCTCAAACAAGTGTGGGGTGCAGTTAGTGAATTGGTGGATGGTGCCACCATGCAATCAGGAAAATAAGGATCTTTACCAGCGCACCTTGGTATAGTGATAATCTTACCCTTCTTCTACATAAAGCAATGAGCATCACAGCCCAATTTTGGGACCTCACAGAGGTCAAGGCAGAGTAAAAAAGGAATCCTGCAAGATCCCGAAACATCAGCCTCTAATGCCTGTTGCTTTATGTGAATAAAGGGCAAGATTATCACTATACCAAAGTATGCTGGTGAAGATACTTATTTTCCTTTCCACTGGTTTTGCCAAGTGTCATTGGACCTTGAACTATGCAGGCACCATCAGATGGGAGGTCTTCCAGCCAAAGCTCAAACAACCCCCAGCAAACTCTGGAGGAATCCTAGAATTCCACAGGATGGGAATAGCTGCCAAGATTACATTCATTGTTTAGTTAGGCCCTCACAGTTCTTAGCAAATGTAAACATTGTGAAGACGTTATAGAATCTCACTGTAGCATGTATGGTCAGTTTCAGGCAAGTGCAACCTATTACAAATTTGCTCAGAATGAGGACTGGGGCCAGCTGAGGACAGAGCAATACAACTGAACCAACCCTCTAAAGAGGACCTTACATTATGATTCTTGTTCAAGTTCTTCTCTAATAATGCATTTTTACTCTACACAGACAAGATGGTACTGTAGACCATGTGACCATTTCCATGGAAGGTCCACCTAAAGAAAACCTTTGTTAAGAGAAAAAAGGGGGCTGCTATTACTGCCACCTCCTTTGAATGCTATTTGTATGACTCTCCTATTGACTCTGCAACTTGAGTGACTTGAGTCACTAACCAGGTCAGGACAAGAAAGTCTGAAGTCCTTATTGCATTTTATATCTGGGTAATTCACCCAAAGTAATACAAGAGAAGTAGCCTGACAACCAGGCAATTAGCATCCGCATAATACGACGCCAAAGATGAAGGCCTCTGTGTTCCCCTCAGGAAAAGTTTCCTTTAGAAATGGCTGATTTTAATATAAAGCAACTCATAAACACATAACACAACTCATAAAAAATATTACCTTTTAGCACCAGAGGTTCTTTTCCTTCCCTTTTCAGTGACTCCAAAACAGTATGGAGTGGCTGGGAGGGTATAACCCGACTTGGTTCATTGGTATTGTCATCGTAAACGATGATCTCTTTGGAAAATATCCTCTTGAACGAGTCCTTGCCTTCCCTGCATGATATTAAATCCAACACCGTGATTTTGCCTTGTTGTAGCCTCCTCCTGCTGATCTTGTCGGAGCAATTAATGTGAACAGCTCCCTGAATATGGCTTTTATTGTACTCCATGAAAGGTCGGCAGTCAATGATGACAGGGCCCTGGTTGGGCAGGTGGGTTTTGCTGCATTTTACTATCTTCTTGGCCAAGTCATTAGGATAGATGATCTTAATGTTGGCAAACTGTTTGGTAGTGCTAGACACTGGACTGCTAACTCCACCAGATGGGCTTAGACTGGCACTGTTCTCATTATTGTTGACCATTTGGTTGGACGAGGAAGCAGTGGAGGGTCCGGCAACACTGCTGGTAAGAGTGGTGCTGCTGACGGCCTGGCTCTGAGTGTCCTTGTCATACGATGCCACACTGCAACAACTGGCACTGCTACATCCGCAACCCAAAGAGCGTGCAGACCCGTTGGAAGAGGGCATATACGTCAGATTGGCCGCGTTTAAGGAGACAACACTTGCGCTAAGTAGGGACTTGCAGCTGCCACTCACCGTGGCGCAATCAAGGAAGGAGGAGTCAATGCAGAGGTTAAGTTCTTGCGGTCTCACGGGTCTGGTTAATGCCACAATAACCCTATCGTCTAAGGGCGATGGAGGCATGAGTAACCCCAGAGGACTGCCAAGTCAAGTAGAATGGTAGGTCATGGGCTGGAAAACATAGAATCACGTTATTATTATTATTCATTTATAATACATCAATACGTTCTGCAGCATTTTACAGAGAACATAGGACCATTCTCACCAGTCACCTCCCCTGAGAAGCCTAGCTTTGGTCCTTTGCCCCTGAGGAGCTTACGGTCTAATGATCCTGTCCATAAGTAATGTGTTATATAATATCCATGTACCACTAAAGAGCATACAGTGTATGTATGTCAAGGCAAAATAAAAAAATATATATATATACAGAGTGCATTTATTGAACACACACATTTCCCTCTAGCTTTATCCATTAAAAAACGCTGCAAGTGCATAAAAATACTCTTTAATCTGCCAGAAATCCAATGAACTCCTAACTTCATGTTTGAGCTGACAACACTGCACTCAAATCCCAAGCAGTGTTGTCATTGTCAGACATGCCTGCAGGGCTACAAATTTCAGCATATCCCCCTGTCCCTCTCTACACACTTATGGGTTTCTTTCCCAGTACAAGATTGCTGATGCCTTGACACCCAAGAACCTGCCATCACACTGTGGGGTAGATTTACTAAAACTGGAGAACTCAAAAGCTGATTGGATACCATGCACAGCTGCACCGGATTCTAACTTCAGCTTGACAATAAAACCTGGAAGCTGATTGGTTTCTATGCAGAGCTGTACCAGATTTTGCACTCTCCAGTTTTAGTAAATAAAACCCAGTGTTTGTGGGCAAAGGGCTCTTGAGAGATGTAGTTCTGGGAGTGTGCCTATGTCAATGGAAACTGACCTCCAACACAATGTCACCAGGCTACATTTCTTGCTATGGAAACAAACAAAAAAAGAATTATGCTGGGGAATGATCTAAAGGGGGAAAGGGAGGTTTGGGGGTAAATTTTGGTCATGCTTGGATATGAACTTTAAAATATAACCTTATTTAAGCATATCTAAACCAAAGAATAAAAATGCAATATATTGTAGGTTACCAATCCTTAAATGTGGTGGCTGCATTAGATTTCTGTTTTTAGGCTTTTTTCCTGTACTTTCATCTGGTGATCCAGCCAGTATCACACTTCCTGTCCCTGGGTGACTACATTCACTCAACCACTGTATCTATGGAGGAGCGGTGTAGTCACCTTTGGACTGCAGTATTGCCAATTTACCCAGAGAGTGGTGTTGGATGGACTAGTAGATTTAGATGGACTTATTACTACATAAGTGACTGACAAATTAACACCAAACTCCAGCTAACACTTTTTAAGCAACATTTACGGTATTTCCTTTTGGGATAAATATTTTACAGAAATGAATAAAAGCTCCCCTTTGTAAGCACCCCTGTGGCAAACGTTTTGTCTTAACCCTCTAACTGCCACTGCAAGTGGACAGCTTGGTCTGTTAAAGGAATCTGAAAAATAACAGACTTCCTGGCTGGATCAACTGGTAATACAACTACAATATGGGGATTTGGGGGGGTTTCTGAAAAATAGAAAGTGCTGTATAAGGCTAGGATCACACCTATGTGTTTTGCAGTGCATTTTCAGATTTGTAGAAATGCACTACAGTCCATTTAACATGATTTCCTATGGGTCACGTTCATATCTGTGCGTTTTCAACCGGTGCTTTTTTTTTGAAAGGGTCAGGGACTTTTCTGCCTACAGCAGATTGTGTTTTTGGTTCAATAGCCTTTAATGAAAATGCATAAAAAATGTTTTGGTGTGTTTCCTGCATGACAACAGATACCTCCCCCTAACAACATTAACCCATCTCAAAAACGCAAAATGCATTACAAGGGCATGTGAAAAAATGCAAAATGCACCAGAAAAACACATCAACCGCAACCTACATAGGTGTGAAACTAGCCTTAATGCTCATGAAAGATTACATCTTATGTGTCCATTTTCTTTTTGCCCAGAGATCTATTTTAAAATAATCATACCAATGCACATATACTCCTTGACCAGTAATTGTCCAGTAAGTGCCCGATCATACCGATGGGATTCCTGGTGCGATTTGAGAATTGAAATCGCATCTAATGAATGTGAATGCCAGTGTCCTAACATGTGCAATTTGCTGCAGCGTGATTTGTAAAGTAGTTCTTGCATCACATTTTCTTCAGTTTTGTTGGGATTTCACATACATAGAATAAAATGGAAATCGCGTTGCAAGAAATTGTTGAAAATCTTCACAAGTAGAAATAAAGTCTTCAGAAATTGCACTGAAATTGCACAAAAAATGGCATGATTTTAAATCGCAGCAGTGTGACCGGTGACTAAAAATATATATTTCTGTACTGCCAGCAAATGTTGCAAATTCACACAAACCTGAGTAGAACAGACTCCATGCAAGTGGTATTAGTGGGGCTGATTTACTAAAGACAAACAGACTGTGCACTTTGCAAGTGCAGTCGCATTCATTTTCCTTAGTAAAGCTAATGTAATAAAGCTTCACTTTGTAAAGAATACCCAATCAGCTCAGGGAAAATTAAAGTGATTCTAAAGGCTTGATTTTTTTTTCCTTTAAAATAACATACACATCACACTTACCTGTTCTGTGTAGTGGTTTTGCACATAGCAGCCCTGATCCTCCTCTTCTCGGGTCCCCTTCCGGTGCTTCTAGCCCCCCCTTCCTTGCCAAGTGCCCCCAGAGCAAGTTGGTTGTGCAGGGGGCACTCGTGCGTGCTTGCTCCCACCCGCCTTTGTGTGACTATGGGACACACAGAGCACGGCTCAATCCCAGAGCTGCTTTTATCGTGCACATCGCTGGATCGGGATCAGGATCAGCTAAGTATTAGGAGGGCTGAGGAGGGAGCTGCACACTGAAGGTTTTAAAAAAAAAAAAACACTTTTGTTAAAAAACCTTCAGCCTTTAGAACCACTTTTTTAAAAAAGCCTTTTTTCTTGCACATGATTGGATGATGGAAATCAGCAGAGCTTTATAGAATTTACTAAGCTCTGGGGAAAAGGGGTGCAACTGTACTTGCAAAGTGCACAGTCTATTTGCCTTAACTAAATCAACCTCAGATTTTAAAGCTGAACTCCGGGTAAAAATTTAAAGTTACCCCTGCAGAGAGGTTTGTAAGCCAAATGCCACCCACAATCTGAAGAATCAAGAGAAGAGCACCCTGCTGGGGGAGCGAGGAGTAATGGAAGTAAAACTGCTGTGATTGCGCCCCTTAGACCCAAAATGATTATTTAGCATTTGCAGTGTGAGGGGAGCCCAAGTGCAAGGGGAAATGTATTTATTTATTTCAGGCATTTACACAGCACTTTACATACTGCACATTCACATCAGTCCCTGCCCTTGAGGAGCTTCCAGTCTCGCATGCATACTTACACTACCTACACTAGGGCCAATTTGGACAGGAGCCAAGCCATCAACATATATTTGGACTGAGCCTGGGTTCACATATATGTGGTGCGGTATATCGCATGTCATTTGCACAGGTACCGCACTGCATTCCTGTGCAAATCACATGCGATTTGTGTGCGGTGTGACTGAAGCCATACATTTTGTATGGCTCTAATCGCACAGCACCCAGACCAAAAACGTGCAGGACCCTTTTTTTGGTCCGCACTAGAACCAGATTGCATGGGTATTCACACCTATGTGATCCGATTCTGCACATCGCACCGAGTTTTGCGGACCAATTTCGGGGGGTTGTTAACTTAACATACATACCCGCAGCGCTTCGCATGAACGGGGTGCGATTTCTGATGCAGTGCGGAATTCACACAGAAAATGCTGTAAATTCCGCACCGCATCAGTGTGAACTAGGGCTAAAAGAGGAAACTGGAGTGCCCAGAGGAGATCCACACAAGCACAGGGAGAACATGCAAACTCCATGCAGTTAGTGTCCTAGCCAGAGACAGACATGTTAAACCACTAAGCCACTGTGTCACCAGTAACTTTCCATTTTACCAAGAGTTCAGATATAAAACAAAATTGTCCCATTTCGACAGAGCAGCAAAGCATTTCTAAAACTCCGGAAAAGAACAGAATAATACCTCCTAGGGGTAGTTATATCAGATATTTTATTTTCTTCATTCATTAAATCTGAACTCCGGCCAAAACTATAAACCTAAATGCACCCTAATGAAGCATGCCCCATGTGTCCAGGCTGCAGCGTTAGATAGAAATTCTGACTTTTGCTCACCCCCAGTCAACTCCAAACATCTGGACCCATTAGGACCCGTTCACTAGGCCAGGGGGCAGTAAAAGCTGGTGATAGAGCCCTAGTTTTACCACCCCCTCGTTAACCACCCCCCTGGAGAAGGGCACCTAGGGCTGTACACATGCTGCGGTTGCGATGCTTTGTTTACAGAAATGAAGCAGCATGTCACATTTGGCAGGCTGAACCCCAAACACAACCCATTTATAGGTATGGGGTCAGCCGCAACCACCCTACCACCATCTGTAATGCATGTGGATGCAGAACAGTTGTGTTGCACTTACACTGTTAAAACTGTCAGCAAGGAGGCCACACATAGCCTCTTCACTGAAAAGCGATCCACCGTGGAACTGTCACATGTATGAATGAGATTTCTAGCTAGACTACTCTGATCCAAGTGGGTTTCTTGCACTCCAGCTCCTCCATTCAGTAAATGCCTTGTAATCTTTTCAATGACTACAGGAAGAGCAGATGAATTTCACAATCTCCCCTCTTCTAATCACAGAGCACCTTGTATTATTTGAAAAGAATGCAAGATGTTAAATGAATGGAGGAGCTGGAATGCTAAAGAGATCTCATAACTACAATTGGATGTGTAACTCTCAACAATGGATGTTTGGCGCTGACTGCACTGTACGGGGGGGGGGGGGGGGGGGGGGTAAAAGCCAGAGATGTACATAACATTGCAGCCTGGACACACAGAACACCTTCATTAATGTGCGTTTTGTTTTTTAGTGCACTTGTTAAACAATGGGGTTGATTTACTAAGACTGGAAGAGGTCAAAATCTGGTGCAGCTG